CCGTTACTTACTTACGTTACGTTAGTTACGTTAGTTAGTTAGTTAGTTACGTTAGTTACGTTACGTACGTACGTACGTACGTACGTACGTACTACTACTACTCTCTCTCTCTCTCTCTCTCTCTCTCTCTCTCTCTCTCTCTCTCTCTCTCTCTCTCTCTCTAGCGTAAATTGTTTCTAAGTCTTCCATGAAAGAATACTGGATAAAATGGAGGTAAAATTCCCTTTAATTGGTTTTCTATGACCATTGGTTGCTGCCTAGTCTTCATCTCTACATCCCAATACTCAAATTATTATTCAGAGCAGAGGATTTAATCTTGTATTATGCTAAGAACTCTACGATTATGTCTAAGATTAGACTTTCTTGGCTCTGATGTTAAATTGCCCCAAGACACTAAAACTATATAGGTGATCTATCGTATAGTGATTGTTAGTTAGAATAATCTACCAATTGTTTGGAATTTTTCATTGGAAACTTACATAAGGCTATATGAGCTTTTCACTATAAATCATTTGAATTTTATCATTTGTTTTTGAAGAAATGTAAAGGGACTTTGAATTTTTCATCTAATAACTCTTGATTGGAGCAAACCCAATGGATGTTTGCTTTGATGTTGGACTTCATCATTTGTATAATCTTGCTGCATCTATTGCAAGTAAATGTTTCTAGTTTATTTTGGTATTTCATTTTAAACATAGGTTCCTTTTCAAAAGCTTTCTCAATTTTGCTGTTTCTTATTTGTCCCTTTCATTTTTTGCTCTTTGTTATTTGTAGTGCAATTACATCTTATTGTCATTGTTTGATAGTCACTTCCATTGTGCATGGATTTTTTTATATCAATGAATCTTTGTTGCAATAAGTGCCTTAAAAACTCTTGGATGAATAAGCTGAGTATTGGGAAATACTGTTAAACATGTCATATTTTCTTGGGCTGTTGTTAGGCAGTTCTCATCTTACCTGCAAATTTATATTTGGATTTCTCATTTCAGGTTTGGAACTCATCTTGTGAGGGCATTCATTCTTGATTCTTCTATAGCATATTATAAATTTCCATTCTCCCCCAATCTTCTTTCTTCTCTTCGTTTCTTCTTTAGTTGTGTATACATTTGTATTGTATCAGTCTTATTGCTTCTTGATAATTCAACGTGTTTGGTTTTCTTTAGACTTGGTTTTCTCAATAAATGCCTGTATCTGGGGTGAACTTCTTGAGAAACCTCACATTGTCCTATTTTCATTGCAGATGTCTTAATCACCTTCATGAAAATCACTGATTTTTTTTAGGGCATTTTAAGATGATGTTGAAAGATTTGCACATGATTTTGCAGCATTGGTCATGGAAGACCCCATTTCTTGCATGATAATTGCAGTTCTAATTGTATGTAACTCTTCTTTCTTTATTTTGCTTTTCTTCTTTACTTTTCCCTTTTGTAAGTTTTTTGGATGAGTGCTTCGAAATATTGGTTTCCGTTTTTTTATGTTTGAAAACAATAATGTTGGCCTTTTTCTTCTTTCTTATAGATAGTAAGGTTACATTGATGCTATTTGTGTTTTTAAAATATTGTATTATTTGTTATGGTTATATAGACTATTCAACCACCCCTTGTTTATTGGGTGATTCCTAACTTTCTTGCAGAGATTTAAGGCAGCCTCCTTTGCTTTAGTGGATATTTCACATCTCATGGTAAGGTGACAAAAATGATGGATTTCTCAATCTCCATGAAAATTTTGGCTGGCATATTTTGTGTTTGTTTTTTGTGTCTGTATGCGCCTGTGTGCGCGTGAGTGGTGTGTATATCTCTCTATGTGTGTGTGTGTGTGCGTGTGAAAGAGAGAGAGAGAGAGAGAGAGAGAGAGAGTGTGTTGTTTAGGTTTAGTTTAGGAAGTACGTCGTCGTCGCACTATTAATAAGTAGTAGAGTAGTAGGTAACGGTAAAAGTTCGTAGTAAGTTTTACGTTTTTAACTATAACTAACCTAACCCTACTA